TCTAGAGTTTAGCTGTTAGAAATGTAAGACTAGGATAAGTTTTTTAATGTCGATGACACATAAGGGGTTTTATGCTGACTACTAAGTCGCAGCTGTCAGTAACGATATGTGTTGTGGTTTTGACCGTGGTCGTGTCGCGAAGACCATAATAACTCCCATACTAATTGATAATTTGCATTTACTGCTTTATCTTTCCTGGATTATCTTTTTTATTTTTACTTTTTATCTTTTCTCCAGCGTTTTTCGTTTTCATTATATGCATTTTGTCCTTCCTTGGTGTTTTTTGTGTTTAAATTTATGTCAGTTTACCGATTGCTACTGGGTAAGCTAATGAGCTTATTTAGTTTTTTTAAATTTTATAACTTAAGCACTCGAGTTTTCCCCATCCGTTGCTGTACATAAAGAAAATAAAGGACGAAGGAGAACAGAGGATGGTAGATGCTGTCAGCACAAACTAATTCACACAAGAGAACGTCCCTTAGTCCACCCTGTTGTGGCTCATCTGGTGGGTATCGTCGATGAGGACAAGTGAATGATCATATGGCTGAGCAGCTGAATTAACAGTTCCTACTAGTGAATTTTGCCGATGCCTATTGTATTACCTGATCTTTTAAGACCAGTTATAATTCCCAAATGAGTTCCTTATTTTCATGGCATGAGAATATCTCGGGTGAACTCTGGAAATCTCTCTCACGAAGCAACTCCGAAGAATTTGACTCGTATATTTTGTGTTATGACTGAAAGTAGACTTGCATTTCAGGCGATTTGCGAAACTGGATTTCACTATACCCACATACGGAGGACAGATTACGACCAACGCACTCTACGAGGCTTCCAAAGTGGAAATGCTTCAAAGAAGATGGTGTCTTCCATGCATAACAGTTCATGGCATTGAGGACTCATTTGACAAAATTGGAGCACTAACACTCATTCCTAAAAAGGTTGGCCCTTATGTTTATTCATCTCCATTTTGAGTTGACCCAAGTGTGAAAAACTCTAGGCGTTTGGCGGGATTTGA